TGCCCCTAGGGGCTCTGCTTGATACTGATGCTTTTGTCACATTGGTGTATTTCCTGGTGTTGGAATGTTAATAAAGTTAGTTGCACACCTGGTGTTTTTTTAGCTATGTCTCACACCTGCACAAAAAAAGACAAAAAATACAAACAGGAAAGAAGATCCCTACCCTTCCTCTCATTTTTTTCACATAGGCACTGTCCCCAGGGTTCTGTTTGTTACTGATGCTATTGTCACATGGATGTATTTTTCCTGGTGGTGGTATGTTAATAAAGTTATTTGCACATAGTTATTTCAGATAGTAAGAATGCAGATGCTGGAGTCAGAGATAACACAGTATGGAGCTGGAGGAACACAGCAGGCCAGGCAGCATCAGAGGTGCAGGAAAGTTGACGTTTCTTCAGAAGGAGGGTCCCAACCCGAAATGTCAACTTTCCTGCTCCTCTGATGCTGCCTGACCTGCTGTGTTCCCCCAGCCTCATACTGTTTCATAATTTTTTACTGTGTCTAACACCTGGAGAAAAGTTATAAACAGGAAAGACAATGCCTATCCGCCCCTTCGCTTTTTCATTCACATACGCAGTGCCCCTAGGGGCTCTGCTTGATATTGATGCTTTCGTCACATGGGTTTCTTTCCCCTGTAGTGGTATGTTAATAAAGTTATTTGAACACCTGATGTTTTTACCATGTCTCATACCTGCAAAAAATATATAAACAGAAAAGATGATCCCAACCTCCCCCTCACTTTTTCTTTCACATAAGCATTGTCCCTAGGGGCTCCGCTTGATACTGATGCTTTGGTCACATGGATGACTTTTCCCCTGGCGATGGTATGATAATAAAGCTATTTGCACACCAGGGGTGTTTTTTATTGTCTCACACCTGCACACGCATAACAAGGGTGCTAGAGAAAATAAGCACTATTGCTGTACGGCAGTAGTGAAGGGGTTTTAAATAAAAATATATAAACAGGAAAGATGATGCCTACCCCCCGCCTCACTTTTTCTTTCACATAGGCATTGCTTCTAGGGGCTCTGCTTGATGCTGATGCTTTGGTCACGTGTGTTTTTTTCCCTGGTGATGGTATGTTAATAAAGTTATTTGCACATCTGATGTTTTTTTTTACTGTGTCTCACACCTGCACACGCAGAACAAGGGTTTTAGGGAAAATAAGCACTACTGCTGTATGGCAGCTAAAAAAAATATAACCACAAGATGAGAATCTCCTCAGCTCAGGCGACTGACTCCGAGCTGGTTGGCCACAGCCAGTGGTACTGTGGACTCTTTTTAACTTTTTGACAACTCATTTCCAGGCTGGCGTGGTCACAGCCAATGATACTGCTGGATTTTAATTCTCAGTGGGCAACTGCTTTTTTAAACTGGCTGGTTACAGCCAGTGTATTGTTATTTTTGGAACTGAAAAAAAGGAAAAAAAAGACAAAAAAGGGAAAAACTACGCATAAACAGGAAAAGTGATCCCTACTGTCCCCATCACTTTTTCTTTCACATAGGTTTCGGCCCTAGGGGTTCTGCTTGATACTGATTCTTTGGTCACATGGGTATTTTTTTCCTGGCAGTGGTATGTTAATAAAGCTATTTGCACACCTGGTGTTTTTTTATTGACTCACGCCTGCACACGCACTAGAAGGGTGTTGGGGAAAATAAGCACTACTGCTGAATGGCATTAGTGTAGGGTTTTTTAAAGAAAAATACCCAGGAGATTAGAATCTCCAAAAAAACATAAACAGGAAAAATGATCCCTACTCTCCCCCTCACATCTTCTTTCACGAAGGCTTGATACTGGTTCTTTTGGTCACACGGGAGACTTTCCTGGTGGTGGTATGTTAATGAAGTTATTTGCACACCTAGTGTTTTTTACGGTGTCTCACACCTGCACACGCACAACAAGATTGAAAAGGGAAAAAAAGAAATAAAAAGCCAGAAGATTAGAATATCCTCAATTGAAAAAAAAGCTAATGGATTAGAAGCTCCTCAGTCGAGGACTGACTCTGAGCTGGCTGGCCACAGCCAGTGTACTGTGCACTAGTACATAAAGGATGACTTGGTGATGAAAGTAAAAGAAAAAAAATATAAACAGGAAAGATTTTAACTACTAACCTCAGTGCATTAGCCAGTGTCTATAGATTTCTGGCCCTGTGCAATTACCACTACACCACCGTCTCCCCAGAAAAAATACAAACAGAAGATTAGAATTTTTTCAGTTCAGGCAATAGACTCTGAGCTGGCTAGCTGCAGCCAGTGTTCCTGTGGAGGAGGAAGCTCGATTCTGGACTGTGGAGTTAACTTGACTCTTTTTTTGGCTGTGTAGGCCTTCTATTTCAACTGTTGCTGCTGCTGCTTGGGCCAACCCCGTTCTGCTGCAGCCTGGACCCCTCTATCTGCTGCTGATGCTGCCGCCTTCCACCTATGCTGCTGCCTTGGCTCTGCCTCAGGCCCCACCTGTTGCTGCTCCCTAAGGCTCCTTGCCAGTGGACTATTGCTGCTGCCTGAAGGCCTTCCACCTGTGGACTATTACTGCTGCCTGGGACCCACCGTGACTTGACGACACCTCGTAGTGTCTGGCAGCACTATTCTTCCCCACCCCTCTCTACTCTGACCCCTGGTGACATGGCTAGCCTGAAGATGGCAGGGCCTCGCCGTATCTATGCCGAGGTAGACACGACCTTGGGCCCAGCTGTTTCAGCCCCAGCTATGAATCATCCCCTTTTAAGTTCCTGACCAAGGGTCTAGGTGTTAAGGCCTAACCTGACATGACCATTGAGGCCTGCAGCAAGGCCATGGCTAGTGTGGTCAGCCTGCTAATCATCATTGCTACAGCCAGGATGTATGAGAAGGCCTCAATCTTCCTGCGGTCCAAACAGGCTGAGCACCTGGCCTTAGAGTAGGGTCTCACTATACGCAGGACATACCTGCCTGTTGACCCTCTGGAGGTCATGGCACCAAGGGTCGTGATCTCCAATGTCCCTCCCTTTATTGGCAGTGAGCTCCTCCTCCCCCATCTACAATCATTGGTAGAAATCCAGTCAGGTGTTACACCGCTGCTGCTTGGACTGAAAGACCCTGTCCTTAAGCACGTTTACTCTTCCTCGGCACCAGGTTTACATTTGCTCGGCCTGGGAGGAAGTGACTGAGGGCACATTTACTGTGCTCCACGAAGGTGAAGCCTATCATATCTTCTGGGCTGGAGGCGAGGCCACTGCTCTGCCAACCATCACCCTAAGAGCCAAGGGACAGGGCAGGAATTGACAAAACCAGCTTTCACTTCCCTTGCCATGACCTCTGCCTTCCCCCAGCCAATAGTATTTATCCGAGGCTGGAGGGAGAGCCTTCATGCCCCACGACCATCAGGGCAGGCTGGCGAGGGGAGGCCATCACCACAACCACCTTGACCACTGGAAGGAGGTGCCGCTCCCTGCAGGGGGAGGACATCCCTGTCACTCAGATAAGGCACATTTCGTCCCCCGGGGCTGACTGGGGTGCATCCTGCCCCTCCCACCACAGCCTGACCTGTTCAGAGCCCTGAGGTTTGCAGTGGGCCCTCCTGCTGCCGCAGTTCCACCAGACCCCGGGGACGAGCCAGAGCCCCACACAGGCTGTGCTGCTGGCACAATAACTGAAAATCCCACTGGGCCATTCAGTGGTGAAGAGAAGGAAAGCGTTATCCTCACTCCTTCCTTCTAGATTGTTTTCCCGGGTGCCCTGGTCCTGGGGGAGGATCTTTTTCCCCGAGAAGCCAGACATCCTGGTGTCAGGAGAGGAGTGGGGCCCTGGGTCTCTGCTGCCCAATGAAGCAGACGTAGAGCAGGCCTCGATGGAATGCATCGAGGACATTCCTACCGGTGACTCCTGGCGTAGTGTTGCCGGGGGTTTGGAGCCAGCTGGTGGTGCTGAACCAGCCCCCACTCTCGTGGTGAGGGAGGGACCGGTGGCCAAGGACAACTCCCCGGAGCAGGGCTTGGGCTCAGTGGTGGGAGCTAGGGGCGACATGGAGTCTGTCTCCAGCAAGGTTTTAGACTCCCTAGTGCCCGCCACTGAGCTCCTCATTCCCATCGAGGAACTCTGGATCTTTATCAAGGCTACTCTCTGTTTCTGGAATAAAATCCAGCTGGCTCTTGACCGCTGGAAGGATTTTGGGCTGGTTTTCTGGTCCACCAGGCTGCTTGCCACATGCCTGGGCTGGTCTGGAATGACCGTCACTGTTCAAGGCGCTCCTAGATGCACTCATGGGAGGGCAAGGGACCTATATGCCCCTCTCCCATCTTCCCAATAAGTGTTTTTAACGGTTTTACTCATGGTGATTACACATCACTACTGACATGAAGACTATTAGCTTCAACATCAACAGCAGCAGGGAGTCAGAACGCAAATTCCAGAACTTCTTGGCTCTTCAGGACAGGAAGTAATGTGGTGTGCTTTCTGCAAGAAACCCATACTGCCCCGGTAGACGAGCCACCTGGCTCCTGGAGAGGCAAGGAGGGCTCTACGTGAATCACCTCTCCCACAAATCCGGAGAGGTAGGTGCCTTGTTAGCCCTACATTTTCAGCCGGATATCTTGAGGGTCAAGGAGCCTGTGCAAGGCCGGTTGCTTCACTTGACAGTGCATTAAGGGATGCGGTGTTTCACTTCGTGACTGTCTACGCTCCCTCGGTCAGGCCAAGGCAAATGCACTTCTATGGAGAAGTATCCACTCATCTTGCCTCCATCAATGAAGGCCAGTGTGTTGTCCTCTGAGAAGATTTTAACTGCATTCTTGAGGACAGAGACTATGGCGGTGCCTAGTCTAGTTTGGCGTCAGGGAGGAGGTTGAGGGACTTGGTCAAGTCCTTCATCCTGGTAGACATCTGGTGGACTCTCTATCCTAACTGGATCATCTTCACCTTTGTGAGGCCTGGGGTCAAAGATTGATTGCCTGTACATTTCATGGGTGTACACCTCCTGTGTGACAACGGCCTCCATGCGGTAAGTGCCCTGGATGGACTATCACCTGGTCTGGGTGGAGATCCTTCCGTTTGGCACCCAGCTTGAGTCCGCGTAATTGCAATCTGCTGCTAGGGGATGAGTGGTCCTTGGACTCGTTTCATCAGTATAGGACTGGCTGGAAAAGTAAGCAGTGGGGTTTTCCTTTCCTCGAGACTATAGTGGGATGTGGGCAAAGCTACGTCCGCGTCTTCTGTCAGAAGCATACTAGGGGGTCAACAAAGAGGTGGAAATCCAGGATCAAGGAGTTGGAGATGGAGATGCTCGGGCTGGAGACACATCTCGGTCAGCTCAATGAGGACCGGGCCCTGCGGGGGGTGTACGAAGAGAAGAAGGCCGCGCTCTGAGACCTGCAGCTTGTCAGGTCTCAGGGTGTGTTTATGAGGTCATGGATCGGGCTCGTCCAGGACCTGGACTGTTGCACCCCCTTCAATTGCTGGAAAAAAGGCAGAGCACCCATTAGCAGCTCCTTGTGCTGCTTGCTGACAATGGGTTCTTGTCTCAGATTTGGAGGGCTTCAGGGCCCAGAATTAACACCTAATATGTGGCTCTGTTCTCTCCAGATCCATCCAGTGAGGATGCTCACAGAATTTTGTGGGAGAACCTGCTGCTGCTCAGCCATGAGGAAGCCGGAAGGCTCGACGCTCCCGCCACTTTTGAGGAGCTGACCGGTGCCCTCTCCCGGCTCTCAAAGGGCAAGTGTCCGGGTCTGGACGGGTTGACTGTGGAGTTCTTCAGGGCATTCTAGGACATCCTGGGAGACAACTACGCACAGGTTCTGAGGGAATGTCTTTCGGCCAGAGAGCTGCCCGTTTCTCAGGACAGGACGGTCATTGTGCTGCTGCCAAAGAAAGGGGACCTTCGTTCTCTTAAGAACTGGCATCCGGTCTCCGCCTCAGCATGGATTATAAAATCTTTGCCAGGGTGTTGGCTTCTCGCCTGGCATCCATGCTCGTCCACACGATCCACCCTGACCAGTCATAACGGTCCTGGGCCGGAGGATTCACGCCAATGTCCAAATGATCCAGGACCTGGTCCATTATTGTCAATGGACTAGTCAGTCGAGCGTCTTCCTGTCTCTCGATCAGGAGAAGGCATTTGACAGGGTCGATCACAAGTATCTGTTCAGGACCTGCAAGCATTTGAGCTCGGGACCGAGTTTTGTCACCCGGATTCGACCATTGTACACCGCCACAGAGTGTCTGGTTAAAGTCAGCGGGTCCCTGGCAGCCCCTTCACTTCAAGAGAGGAGTGTGTCAGGGCCATCCCTTGTCCAGCCAGCTGTATTCCGTGTGTGTGGAGCCTTTCCTGTGCCTCTTGCAGAGGAGGTTTTCGGGGCTGCTTCTGCGTGGTTCTTTCGGCTTATGCCGACAAAGTGCTCTTCATGTTCATCGACCCGGCAAATCTGGAGAGGATGCATGAGCGCCATGCAGTGTATTCGACACCGTCTTCCTCCCGGATCAACTAGGCCAAATTTTATGGACTCCTGGTCGGAGCGTGGCATGTGGACTCTCTGCTGGAGGAGTTACGAGGTTTCAGCTGGAGTATCACCCATCTTCTCTATCTGGGGATAGCCTGGCTGAGGAATCCTGGCCGGCGAATTCGCAGGAGCTGGAGAACAAAATCTTGGCTCGCCTCGGGCTCTGGACAGAACAGTTCCAAGTGCTATCTTACAGGGGTCAAGTGCTGGTCATAAACTAGCTGATGGCTTCCATTTGTGGTACCAGCTGGTCCTTTTGGTCTCTTCTCCTGGTTTTGTCACTGACATCCAGAGGACATTGGTTCACTTCTTCTGGGACAAAAAGATGCAATCATTCGCAGCACAGTGTCTGAGTCTCTCTTTTGAGGATGGCGGTCAGTTGCTGGTGTGCATCCACTCCTAGGTGCTGACTTTCCACCTTCAGACCTTGCAGTGATACCCTGACGTTGAACCTCCTCAGGTGGTGTGCCTCGGCAACGTACTTTTTCAACCAGGTGCGTAACTTCAACTACAACATGGAGCTCCTGTTTATTGACTGTGCATGTTTGCAGGCCTGTCTTTTACCAGGACTTGATCACTGTCTGGGACATGGTTGATTTGCGACGGACCTGCCTTCTGTCAGTAGTAGCGGTTATTGTCAGAGAGCTGTTGCTCAGGAATCTGCACCTCCACAATCGCAGGTTTGAGTGGCTGGCTACGGGGAGGGCCATGGCTGCGGGGTGACCACGGTTGAGGACATGCTGGGTGGTGGGGGCCTGGGCTGCCACAGGAATTGGCTCACTGGGTGGTGGTAAACATCTGGCTCGCAGCCATCCAACACCTTAAAACGGTAGGACATTGTGCACCAGTTGGAGAACACTCAGGTGTGGGGTGGAATCCTATCTGCGCAGACTCTTGTTCAGACGGAATTTCACATTGGCCCCAGGATACCGTACGTCCCCCAGGAGCCTGTGCTGCCTACCTGAGCCACCTCCACAACATAGATATTATGGATTTTAGAGTTGCTAAATGGGGGACCCTGTACAGACTGCTGCTGCACACCATCCACCTCTTCTCCTTCTTCGGCCGCCTGGACACGCCTTGGTGTGCCCATTTGATGCTGGGCGATGGGGATCCCCAGTGGAGGGCTCTCTATGCAGGATTCCTCCTTCTTTCCCTCATGGATTTGGGCTGGAGGGTGTTGCACGCAACAGTCCTGTGCAACAGCACATTGCGGTGCTTCATGGACTCTCGGCCCAACTGTTTGTTTTGAAGTGCTGTGGATCCAAGGACCAAGTATATATTGGGTGTGGGCATTTGCAGTCCCTTTTTAGTTATTTAAAAGACCTTCTCCTCTGCTTTTGGTTGTACTTCAGCCCCACGTTCCCGACCATTGGACATCCATTGTGGAGGGGTGCGGGCAGATTGGAGAATCTCCTCATGGATCTGCTCCTGGGCAGGTTGCCCCAAGTGACTTATTTGGGTACAGAGTCAATAAAACTGGGTTGCACCCACTGGAAGATAAAGTGACAGCGATCAAAGGAACCCTGGCTCCCATGTCTGTACCAGAGCTTAGGTCTTTCCCTGGGTTTGTGAATTAGTACAGAACATTCCTGGGCCTGGCCAGGCTGCCTATTAATAGGTCCAGACAGCGGTCATCTTTGGCATGAGGAATTCCCACCAGTACCTTTATGACAGGAATTTGACATAATAACAGATCACAAACCTCTGTTAGGGCTACTGAAGGAAGACAAGGCGGTGCTACCCATAACTTTTGATTGAATTCAGCATTGGGCCCTTATTCTCAGCACATGGACACACAAGGTAGAACACCATGCAGGAAGCCAAGTGGCAGATACTCCATTGGTGGTGCCTCCCCTGGAAGAGACCATTTTGGTTTTAAACTTCCTAGACACCCTTCAAGTCACCTTTGACAATATCTGACTGTGGTCACAAAGAAGATCTTGTCCTAGTAAAACTAAAACATGGTAATAGGGGAAACAGAAGGGCTATCGCAACCAGGACTGAAACCTTTCTGGACCTGGTGAGACCAGATCACTGTGGAGTATGGCACATTACTACGGGGAACAAGGGTGATTGCCCCATGTAAAGGTCGCTGCCAGATACTGGCTTAACTCCACCAGGGTCATCCAGCGGATTCGCAAATCAAGATGCTATCAAGAAGATTTGTATGGTGGCCAGTGTTGGATGCCAACATAGCTGTATTGATGGGGTAGTGCCCAGAGCGCCAGCATGGACAAAAATTGCCACCAGCAGCACCCCACATTCATGGGAATGACCAGGTAAACCCTGGTCTCAACTGCATGTCGAATTTGCCAGTCCTTTCATGCCCTCAATGTTCCTGGTCATTGTGAATGTCCATTCAAAGTGGTTGGACGAGCATAAAGTTCATTCAGCAAACTCAGGGATGAGTTGAGAAGCTGCGAGCATCATTCACGATACACAAACTCCCAGAAGTATTGGTCATGGATAATGGGACATCATTTACCAGCAGGGAATCTGAATATTTCCCAAAGTCAAATGGGTATGTAAGGATAGCTCCATGCCATCCATCATCCAATGGTCTAGCAGAAAGAGCAGTCCAAATGTTGAAGGCAAGCTTAAAGAAGGCAGCCTACAGCATCACTTGATACCAACTGTCTCAGTTCCTGTACAATTATAGGTCCACCATGCATAGAACAACAGGATAGCTCCAGCACAGTTGCTGATGGGGAGAAGACTCCGCACCAGGTTAAACCTGATATTTCCAGACCTGAGAGATATGGTGAACTGGCAGAAGGAAAGGCCAATGGTGGCCACATGCATCCTCTAAGCAAGAGAGACAGTTTAATTCAGGGGACAAAGTTTGGTGCTGAAACCATGGGAATGGCCCCATGTGGGTACGATGCGAGGTTGACGTGTGATCAGGCCCCGTGATTTACAAAGTTCGGGTGGGTGATACAGTCTTGAACAATCACGTGGATCACCTGATTGCTGTAACCTTGCAGCAAAACATACCTGGCCTGTGAGAACAGCCAGGAGGCTTGTCAGAAACAGTAGGTTCTCCCATCAATCTAGTGTTGAGGAAACCTCAGAATCTGAGATGGATGCAGCCTCGATACCATTTTCGCTGGAAGAAAGGGAGGAAACTGTCCAGAGATGCTCCAGACGCAAGAGACGGGCTACTGTCTGGTACACACTGCTCAAGTCAGAATCCGAGACACAGGAACCGGACCTGGGGTGAAAATGTTGCAGGGAAAGTCACAAGAGAAAGACCCCGTGGACTTGGCGGGGAGGGAAGTAGTGCTTGGAACTGGGTGGATCTCGTTGACTATGAGATCCCTGATTGGGGTTGTTAACCTGGTCCAATTAGGAAAGCTCTGGCTGGCCAAAGTTAAACAGGAGATTAGAATCTTTTCAGTTCAGGGGACTGACTCTGGGCTGGCTGGTCACAGCCCAGTGTACGGTGCACAAACAAATAAAGGGTGACTTGGTGACAATATACCAGCCTTTGTGCACCCTTCTTAAATAAAGGAACAACATTGGCTATTCTCCAGTTCTCTGGAACCTTTCATGTAACTAAAGAGGACACAAAGATTTCCTCACCTGCCACTCTCAGAATTCTGCGATAGATCTCATCAGGTAATGGGGACATAATGCTTTTCAAAACACTCAATACCTTTCTTCATACAGACATGCCCTAGAATATCAACATACCCCTCCCGAGACTCACCATCCACCATATCCTTCTCCTTTGTGAATATCGATGCAAAGTTTTTGTGAAGGACCTCACTTGTTCTGGCTCCATGCATAATTCCCTCCTTTGTCCTAAGTGGACCTACTCTACTCCTAGCTATACTTTCCTGAAATGTATGAGAAACACCTTGGGATTTTCCTTAATCCTGTTTGCCAAAGACATTTCATGGCCTCTTTGTGCCCTCCTTATTCCTTGTTTGAGGTATTTCTTGTTATCTTTGTATTCTTTGAGGGCTCTGTCAGTCTTCCATTTCCTAAACCTTACATATGCCTCCTTTTTCTTTTTAACTGAGCTCTCAATTTCTCGTCAGCCAAGATTCCTGATTCTTGCCATCTTTACCTTTTATTTTCACAGGAACGAGCTGGTCCTGAACTATAATCAACTGGTCTTTAAAAGATTCTCACATGACATGCGTAGATTTACCTTTAACCAGCTGCTCCCAATCTACATTCCCCAATTTATGCCCAATATTGTGATAGTTTACCTTCCCAATTTAGTACTTTCACCTAAGGACTACATTTATCTTTATCCATAAGTAACTTAAAACTTAGAGAATTATAGTCACTATTCCCCAAAATGCTCCCTCATCAAAACTTCAATCACCTGGCCAGGCTCATTCCCCAATATTAGGTCTTCCCTAGTTAGATTATTTACACATTGTTTCAAAGAAATCATCCTAGACACACCTAACAAACTCTCACCTCACCCAAGTGAGTCCCAGTCAGTATGTGGGAAGTTAAAATCACCCACCACAATAATCTTGTCTTTTCACATTTTTGCATAATCTGTCCACGTACCTGTTCCTCTATCACTTGCTGGTTGTTGGGAGGCCTATAATACAATCCCATCAAAGTAACTGCACCCTTCCTATTCCTGAGCACTATCAAAATTGCCTTGCTGGATGAGCGTTCAAGGTGTCTTCCCTACATTCAGCTGTGATTTCTCCCTTATCAGTAACATAACTCCTCCACCACTTCTGCATCCCTCCTGAAACATTTGAATCATAGAATCATAGAATGCAGAAGAGGTCACTTGGCCCATCGAGTCTGCATCGACCCAGGAGAAATACTTAATCTTCAACCTAATCCATAGCCTTGAATGTTATAATGTGCGAAAGTACTCATCTAGGTACTTTTTAAAGGATATGAGGCAATTTGCCTCTACCACCATTCCAGGCAGTGCATTCCAGACCGTCACCACCCTTTTTGTAAAAGATTTTTCCTCACAAACCCCGAAACTTCCTGCTCCTCACCTTGAACCTGCATCTCCTCATGACCAACTCTTCAGTTAAGGGGAACAGCTGCTGATTATCCAATCTGTCCATGCCCCTCATAATCTTGTACACCTCAATCAGATCAGCCTTTTATCTTTTCTGCTCCAGTGATAACAACTCAAGACTATCCAACCTACCCTCATACCTTAAATTCTCCAACCCAGACTGCATCCTGGTGAGAGGCAACCTGGTGAATCTCCTCTGCATCCCTTCCAGTGCAATCACATCCTTCCTGTGATGTGGTCAGAAATCACACCACACCAGGTTATAGTCCAAAAGGTTTATTTGAAAACACAAGCTTTCGGAACCTCGCTCCTTCTTCAGGTGTTAGTGAGGTGGTATCAGACACAGAAATTACAAGTGAAAGATCAAACGGTCACACCACTGATGAGAATGTATTAAACAAACCTAAGATGCTGTTAAATCTTTAATGAGTTAGAAGGTTTTAATTGATTAATATATATATGTAAATCCCAAATTCCTTTCAAGTCACTGTCCTGACAGAACTAGAGATTTTATTAGTGTAAAGAAGAGGTCACATTTTAGGTCAGAAAATGCATTTTAGGTGTCAGGCCTTGTTTAGAATCTGTTTGTGTTTTGGTTTGGAGTTAGACTGGTTTTATTTCTCAAGTAGGAATTTATAAAATACCAGATTGACTGGCTTTCTAAAAATTATGTGCTTTTGCAACAAAATAGAATGTATCTGCAAATACAAATTTATCCCATAGATTTACAAGCGTGTGTGTATGTATGTATATATGTGAGGAAGAGACAGTGTGTGTGTGAGGGGGGGAAGAGAGACAGTGAGTGTGTGTTTATGTGTATGTCTTTGTATGTGTTTTTGTGTGTGTGTGTGTGGGAGAAAGAGTGTGTGTGTGCTTGAGAGACTGTGTGTATGAGAGAGGATCAGTGTGAGAGTGTGTGTGTATGTATGTATATATATGTGAGAGTGTGTGTGTGTGTGTGTGTGTGTGTGTGTGTGTGTGTAGTGTGGTGAGGTCACCTGTAATGCAACATGAAACCAAGATCCCAATTGAGGCCATCCTCAAGGGTACTGAACTTGGCTATCAATCTCTGCTCGGCG